TTTTACTTGTATTTGTGCATCATATATCGTGATAATAAGCAGTAAAAATTTTGTTTGAATAAATTTAGTAAATAATATACATATGTATGTATTTTTTCGAACACACTATAGAGGGTTTCGCATCCGTGCAATAGCAAACAAAGCACACGAAAAAATATGCAATCGCTGCAAAATATGCTACACAAAAATACTACTTAATTTTCGTGCAGTGAGGCGTAGCAAATTAGTTGCAACGAGTATTTGCGGTGGCAGCCATTTTATTAATATACTAGAGGAACCGTCCGCGCTTCACTGTGGCTGATACATAGATAATACTACTACTAAAATCTATATGATGTCTATTAGTTGGATTATAACTATTAATTAATGAGATATACCATTTTGGTGAAGCAACTTCTGTTCTTCTTCTTAATTGGCGTAGACACCGCTTACGCGATTATAGCCAAGTTAACAACAGCGCGCCAGTCGTTTCTTCTTTTCGCTACGTGGCGGAAATTGGATATTCCAAGCGTAGCCCGGTCCTTCTCCACCTGGTCCTCCGAAAGGAGTGGAGGCCTTCCTCTTCCTCTGCTTCCCCCGGCGGATACTGCGTCGAATACTTTCAGAGCTGGACTGTTTTCGTCCATTCGGACGACATGACTTAGCCAGCGTACCCGCTGTCTTTTAATTCGCTGAACTAACTAAGAACTTTTCTCTCGAAAACTCGCCACGTCGACTCATCAGTTGTTGTCATCGTCCAAGCCTCTGCACCATATAGCAGGACGGGAATTATGAGTGACTTAAAGAGTTTGGTTTTTATTCTTCTAGAGAGGACTTTGCTTGTCAATTGCCTATTCAGTCCGAAGTAGCACCTGTTGGCAAGAGTTATCCTGCGTTGGATTTCCAGGCTGACATTTTTGGTGATGTTTACGCTGGTTCCAAGATAGACAAAATTATCTACGACCTCAAAGTTATGACTGTCAACAGTGACTTGAGAACTGTTTGTTTGATGACAGAAGATATTTCGTCTTGCCCTCGTTCACTGCCAGACCCATTTGTTTTGCTTCCTTGTCCAGTCTGGAGAAAGCAGAACTAACGGCGCGGGTGTTGAGGCCGATGATATCAATATCCAGCAATAGCCAGCAGCTATACACTCTTATAAAAAATTGTACCTGCTCGATTAAGTTCTGCAGCTCGAATTTTTTCTCCAGCAGCAGATTGAAGAAGTCGCGCGATAGGCTCGGAGAGGTCCTTACT